TCCCTCCCTCCCTCCCTCCCTCTCCCTCCCTCCCTCCTTCCTTCCTCACTCGTGCTTGCAGATCAGCTGTGAACTTTTAGCTCTGCCCCAGCACCATGCCTACCTGCCTGCCACCATGCTTCCCACCATGATGGTCATGGACTCCAGCCCTCTGGAACTGTGAGCCCAAAATTAAATGCTTTCTTTTATAAATTGACTTGGTCATGATGCTTTGTAACAACAATAGAACAGTGACTAATCACTGGACCTCTAGAATCTTTCTTAAAAGATTTCAATCTTTCAGTCAGACCAAGTTAAACTAAAAATCTAGAAGGAGACTGCCCTCCTCTGTTTCTTGACTTCTGCGTTCCTGTGCTCCCGCTTTAGAGCGCTTTTCCTAACTTCTTACCTACATCGTGCCCTGGCCAATGACACCTCCCATTGTTTTGTGTTTGTTCATTTGTTACAACTACTCATTACTGAGCATGAGGTTTATTTTTTTTTCTTATTTGCTTGCTGCCCATCTCCTATACACATTATATTAAAGTCAAGAACTTTTGTAGTTCACTGCTAAAACAATTCTTAAAATAGCTCTGGCATGGAATAATAGTTAAAACCAATTGCCCATTCATGCAACAAATATTTATTGCATACCTACTTCATGTTGGTCCTTTAGAGATGATCTTGTCTCAGAGCGGGAAAAAGGTCTCATTTTGAAGGCCAGATATAATTGATAGGAGATAACTGGAACTCTGTACTAAAAAGCATTCTAAGAGATCTGAGAAGCCAAACTGCATGTGGAAAAAAGACTACCAATGTCAGGCACGAACCAACAAAGAAAGCAGCCACATCTCCTAGGGCTCCTGGTTTTATATCAAAGAAAATTGAGCTCTGGAATGAGATGGGGTACCTGAAGTTCAGACAGCATAGGAATCCCCATCATTCTGTCTGTGCCTTTTGTGGATGGAAGGCCATTAACAGGAGACCAGAAAAATGGAGTCTATTCTCAGTTAAGGGATGTTCACAAGCATGTTCCAGGAATCCTTAACTGCTAGTCTTGGAAAGTTGTGTATCACAAGAGCCAAGTGCCCTATGACCAAAACCTTTGACCAGGATGGAACTGTAATCAGCCAGGGCTGCCCATATTTGCATGGTCATGATTTGCACAGACCTTATTTGCATGCCTGAGATTGGAAAGCTGGAAATTATGTGTGCAGCCACTCATACTAACAACCCCTCAGACTGTACACCAGCCAGCCTGGGCTGTATTCCTTTGCATGCTGGGAAACTGCACATAAGAAACTCATCCTAACCAAAAGTATTTCTCTAAAATGAAGATACTGTCCTCTGATATTATATATAGGCAGGAATCTAACTGATCCTCAGACTGCTGTCCTCTTGCAGTTTACCCTATAAACTATTTCCCCTATTCTAGAGTAGATGGTAAATTCACTCACTGCCTGTGTCTGTCCAACCCTTCCCCACTATCATAGAGTGTACATCCTGTTGACGATACTGTTCAGTCTCTCTTTATTAGATCAGAGCTAGAGGCCACCTCTGCATGTCTTCCTCTACCCTGATTAGTCTTCAGGTTCTTCCCCTTTACGGGAACTTTGAGGAGGTTAAAAGGATGTAGAAGTCCCTGGCACTGAACCAAGCCTGGAACCCAATTCTGTCTGAACTCACAAGCTAGTTATTTTTAAAAATACAAAGAGAAAAGGAAGAAGAAGAAGAAAAAAAACCCGACTGTTCCAGTCACTGTACCAGCCAGCTGAGAGAATAGAGATTTGAAAGGAACAAAGGGTTTCCTCAAACATGCAGATCAAGGGCTTGGCTTATGTGGAAACCAGTAACCTACCACTGTGTGCTTATGACAGAGCCCTCAGAAGCCTCAGGCCTCAGGTCCTGCCTCATTTCTGGCAAGGGGATGGGGAAGCTAGGGACACTCTCCTCCCATGCTCTGAGGTCAGTAGCTGACATCTGGACTCTAAGAATGACAAAGTTCCTGTCACTGAGGCACAAGGAGCTCCAAGCCAACCTTAAGGATAAGTTCTGGCATCTACCTGTTCAATCTCTCTTTATTAGACCCAGACCATGAATGCCCACCCTCCTGTTCTTCCTATGACCACCCCTTCCCTTTTGCCCCTGACATTGCCTTTTGACTTAAGACAACCTTCAGAGCCTGGGAACAGGTGAGTTCTAGGACTAAGATAGAGAAAACAAGAAGAAGGGAACACTGATGGTCTTGGACACAGGACCAAGCTAGATTCTGTCCCTCTGGAGGTATCTCAAACCAAGTGTGGGATCCCTTGTCAAAAAGCAGAGCTATACGATTAATCACAGTATCATTAGAAGTGTTAATGGGGAACACTGACAGTGAACCCTGCTGAGGACTGTGTGCTGCTTGCAGTTAACCAGTGTCTCAGGACTACTGTCACCTCTGTGGGACCCAAGAGAAGACAGGTTCAGAGAAAAGCAGCAGCCTCCACAGCCTCTCACTGTGAGCCAGTTGGGGCAGAACACCAGCCAGATGACCCTGACACTTGAATTCTCTAACCTAAGACACAGTAAAAATGCTGACACTTCCCCATCAGAGGGAACTGACTCACCGCACGGCAGGGGACAAGCACATGGTCACTTTCCACCCTCAAGGGCCCCAGCTTCCTCATTTTTCTCAAAGGTTTCCACTCAAAAAGCATAGACCTCAAAGATATTGTCTCAGCTAAGCCCTGAGAAGCAATATATCTCCTTTCCTGGGAGGGAAGGAAGGGCAGAGGGAGGGAGGGAGAGGAAGGAGGGAGAGTTAAGGATGGAGGAAGGGAGGAAAGGAGGGAGAGAAGGAGAGAGAGAGGGAGAGAGGGAAGGATAGAGGAAGGGAGGGAGGGAAGGAGACAGAGAGAGGGAGAGAGGGACAGAAGGGAGCCCATGAAGCCAGAACATTTTCCTTCCTCAGGGCCAGACTTGGTTTACTCAGCCAGGTCTTCCCTCAGCCCTCAGGGACCTGTCAATCTGTTCCTATTGAACTCTCAGCCTCCCAGTTCTTGCCAAAAGCTGTGCCTGATTTTAGCACTCTGGGTGTATGGCTTGCTCAGGTATCTGCATAGACTTTTCCTTAGTATATTTGCTTCAGCCTCAAGCTTCATCTGAATGTCAACCTTGTTCCTTTCAAACAAAACCACAAGTCTCTTCATACCCCTCATGAGTTACTAGCCTCCTTATACCAGGGGCTCAACTCCCAGCCACCTTACACCAGGGGCTCAACTCCTGGCTTGGCTCCATGCTCTCTGCTTCCCTTGGAACAGGACCCAGGACAAACCAGATTTTCCACTCCAAGCTTTGTTCCTTCTTCGATGTCTCTCCTTGCCTCTTCCTTCTTTACTTTAAGCTCCAAAGCTACTCCTTCCCTGTGGTCTTTTTGGATCTGGTTGGTAGCACCTCCATCCCTGCCAGTATGTTGTTCACATCGGTGCATTTCTCCTGTGCCAGTTTGCTTTATCAAGCTTGGAAAACTCCAAGGTCTCATTCCTTCATGGAAGCATCAAGTTAACATGCTCAGGAACAGGATGAGTTGACACAGAAGCTTCTGGATAACAGCCTAAGGCTTATAACAACCAAGTATATGTCCAATTAAGAAACAGCCACTTTCAAGGCAATAGGGATAGTTCTCTGGCATCTGTTGGGCTCAGTCTCAGTGTTTCTCTAGAACAGCTGCTGTATTGGACTAGAAGAGGTAGCAGTTGTGCTCCTGGGGTTCTTCCTGCAAACCATACTCACAACTTACTAGCATGCTGCAAGGCCACCTGCATGCTACTGTTGATTTTGACTCTGAGCTCTCTCAAGCAGAGACTACCCACTGGGCTCTGTTAAAGACAAAGGAGCAGGACACATAATAGGCTGAAGATGCTTGTGGCCCAAGATTGTAGAAGGCACACACACTAAGCCACGTGTGGTCACGGGCAGAAGCCACGATCTTCAGGACTGCTTTGCATCATGGTGTGTACAGTACCAAGTGTTCACAGCCAAGGCTTCCCTGAAGTTCAAGCTGCAGCATGTGCGAACTCTGCCTGCAACCTCAGATTTGTTCCACACTGGACTCTGAATGATGTTTTGTTGTTACACACTCAGCAACCTTTTGCTGTTGCCAGATTATCTTACATTTATTTCTGATTATTATTATTATTTATTAATTATTATTTATTATCCTTTAATCTGCCAGATTCTTTTTTTAACTTAACTACCATATTCATTATAAGATCTCACATGGGGTGAAACTTGCAGTTTGACAAGTTAGGATCTGTGTAATCCCAGGGAAAACCATATGAAATATCTGCAATCTGACAGGCCACAGAACTACAGCTACTTATAAGTATAGGTAGAACATATTTCTGTTGTTTGTAGGACATATTTTAAATGAATACCAACAGATGAGACCAGGCATGTTCAGTGTGGAATGGTTCTCCAATATGGCTACCTATATAAGACCTGGACAAGGATGACGCCAATAGACACTGTAACATGGAAGGAAAGACCATGGGCCTCAGCCTTAGATGATGAACTACAGGCAATTAAGAATTGCTGAAAAGTGAGAGAAAAACAGTCTTCCCAGGGAAGAGTACATCAATTGGTTCTCCAATACCAAACGATCAGCTCTGACAGCATTCACATACAAGTAACTTTATAAAGACACATCAGATTGTATTTCTATATTAAGATATGTATATGCGTATGTGCATATATATGTAACAACAATTAATGAGAAAGGGCAAGAGTTAGAAAGAGAGCAAGGGGGTGTGGGGTAGAGGGAAGAAAGGGAAGAGAAAAATGATGTAATTATAACCTTAGAAATAAAAAAATAATAAAAGATTTCCTATATAGAAAGCTGGTCTTTCTATAAGATTATTTTCATTTAAAAGAACAACTATGTGAGTATTAGCTATGTTTATATATTATAAAAGTATATATTAGGTTTATGGAGAGGTCTAGGTCATACTTAAATGGTCTTGTGTGACCACTGAAATGTTATGCTTTTCAGAAAGAACACAGCAGGACCTGAAGTTTTCTATAAAATAATTCAATGATATGACCAAATACATTTCTCTCATGTTAACAGACTGAGAACGCCTCCTAGGAATTTTCATTGAGATATTAACTTGAACCTTTTATAGCTCTGCTCTACAATAAGTGTTTCCAACTCCTTGAAAGTAGCCATTGTGAAAACATTTCTTGTTAGTTCGGTCAATTGGGAAGTTTTGGGGTGGGAGCGGATTGTTGGTATTTTGCTATATTGTTGAGTATTGGTTTGTGGAGGAAAAACACAAATGAATTAGAGTCCTGTTAGTAGCCATTTAATAATTGTCTGCATAGTTGCTTTACTGTAGAACTTCATGGCCATTGAGTAATGTCTAAGATATGTGAGGGTGGTAGTTGCTACCGTACACTGAGAGTCTTAAAAAGACAAAAAAAAAAAAAAAAAAAAAGCAGGAAATACTGACTGGTGACAAGATGAAGTATTTACTGTCGTGCCCCAAACAGTGAAACAAAGAAAAATAACAAGAACACTGGGAAAACCTCCACAGCATCCGGTAACACAGCCACATGGGCAAAAATGATCAGGACACAAAGTCTGGTCGGCTTTGTTTATTGAGAAAAAAGAAAGAACACTCTTGGCTCCAAACTAAGGAAAGCTTTAAATTTACCCTCGTTTA